GCACCAGCTATACGTCAAACTACCCTTCATTTTCCCAGAACTGATCCGCATAATGATGAGGAACAAAAGATAAGAAACAATAAATTAATTACTTGGATCATCATCGATCAACAGCTATTTACTGTTGTTGATAATCAATTCTTTAAAGAGTTTATTAACTTTTTCGATCCCCGATATGCAATACCTTCAAGACAAACTGTAAAAGTAAAAATTATAGAGGATTTTGAAAATAAACGTAGTAAAATATTTAATGACATTTCTAAAATTCCTGGAAAGATTTCTTTGATAGTTGATATGTGGACCTGTTTAAATTTTGAAGTGTTTCTCGGTATTACCATTCATAACATTGATACTAATTGGCAATTATGTCATTTTCTCTTAGATATTATTTCATTTAGCGATAGACATATAGGAACAAATATAGCTGATACTATTAATAATCTTCTTGTCTATTTTAATATTCAAGATAAAGCGTTGGCACTTACCACAGATAATGAGTCTGCCATGGTTGTTTGTAGAAGATTAATTGCACAGAAATTGCAAACCTAATTTGATAATATCAGATTTTCACATTATAGATGTGCTGCCCACGTTCTTAACTTGGCTGCAAAAAAAGGATTGGAAATAGTTGATTCTTCAGTAAATAAAGTTCGAAACTTAATGGCTAAAATTAAATTGTCTATTCGTCTTAGCGATGATTTACGTAGTCTGTGCGAACTTAAAGGAATTCCATACCTTAAGCCTGAGTTGGACGTTGAAACCAGGTGGAACAGCACATACTATATGTTGCAAAAAATGCAAAAAATGGAAACTGCTCTTAACCTTCTTGCTGCTGATCATTCATCAATCTGTTTGCTATATCCAAATAATAATGAACAACGCAATTTAAAAGTAAAATTACTATTATATCAGTTTTGCATACCTAATTTAAAAAAATAATCAAAAAATTTCGTTACTGCGATGTCTAATTTGGTGTACAAAACCTCTAATAATTTAAATAAAATTAAATAATAAACTAATATATAATAAATTATTGATTTTTAGGACGTGCTTACCTTACTGGAACTACTTGAAGCCACCACAAAATTGCTTTCTGCTGCATTATACCCAACCATGGGCGATATATGTTTGGTTTTTTTATAAAGTTGCCGAATTGATTTACCAAAAAATAGAAGAATACTGAACCATAATGGATAAGCCCTCTGTTATCTCTGCCATTCTTGACCCTCGAACTAAACTAAAAATATTTGATCAAACAAACACTGTTGACGCCAAGAAAGCCATTCAAGAAGCTATGAATCAATACATTCAAGATAGACAAGCTTTACTACTCTCAAATAATGTTTCAGAAAATCCTATTAAAACTGCCCATAAATTTTTTTGGAACTTGGCAATCAACTAGAAAGTGAAGAATTATTAGTTTCTAATTATAATTCTAGACAAGAATCAACAACTACAGATACAAATGAATTGGATAATTATCTTATATTTGATACTATTGAAGAAGATACCAACCCACTAGATTGATGGAAATCGAACCAAAAAACCTATCTGATTCTTTCAAAATAGCATCTGATTACCTCAGTATTCAGGCCACTAGTGTTGCATGCGAGCATACCTTCTCGATAGCTGGCAATACTATTTCAAGAACTCGTAACTGTCTTCATTCTGAAACGGCGAGAGCCTGTCTTTGTGTTAAAAGCTAGATCACTAATGGAGTGAGTGAAAATTAAATTAAATAAAATAAATAAATAAATAGAAAAGAAAGAAATATTAGTATAAATATATATATTATATATCTGTTACGTATATAAAAACATTTCAAAAAAATAGCTTTAACATTAAAAAAAAAATTTCAAAAATAGCTTGAATTTGTAAAATTCACTGAAATTTTAGCTGATCTCACTATCTCGTTGAAGCTTTTTGGATACTTATATTAAATTCTTAAACTTTATTGTTGCAATATATGTATTAAAAATAAATTATTCGATAGCCATTCTAGTTAAAGATATATCTGATATAAGGTATTTTCAAATATACTTTTTTTTTAACAAAACCCGAGTTTGGCTTTTGTTAGTTATAAAAGTATATTTGAAAATACCTATTGTGTGTGTGTTGTATACGTATGTACCATATTACAGGCTTACTATGTTTTGAAATTCTGAATTTCTATTGGTTAATAATAGATCGGTCTTGGACCGGTAAACCAAAACCGGTCCGGACCAGACTGTAACGCCTCTAGTCCTGGACCAGTTCTGGACCATGGTCCGGTCCGCGGTCCTCTGTTAGGACCGGTCTTTAGAACCAAGACCAGACTGGACTGGACCGTAACATCTCTATCTAAATTAATACAAATTTATATGTAAAATAACTTCAAAATTAATAATCATCATATATGATCCTAAGTTTTGATCAATTAGTTTATTGAACACCTTAGCCCACCATGTTATGTTATCTCTAATAAATAGAAATCCAACCTACAGCCATCTAATCAATAATCTAACTCGAAAAAATTATAAACCAGAACATGTTTTTGACACAACCGAACCTCTTCAAGAATCACCGAACTCTTTACTGTTCTTGAAATGTCAATACAAAAACAGTAAGAGGGCTGACAAATAATACCCCTCTCTGGGATTTTTACTTAATCCCACCCAGAGTCAGTTATTTGACACAGTAAAACTTACAAAAAATACTGTTGAACCTCCCAAAATCAATCCTCTTAAAACTGATTACCTGTTAAATCTGATAAGAAATTTGTCTACCAAGTCCATTTCTATTATATAAATCTAATAGTATATAATGTTTTCAAATCTGATAACCTCTCGATACTGATACATAATCTGTCCACCATGTATATTGGTTTGGAGAGGTTCAACAGTATATAATTAGGTTTTGACAGTTGATAATATAAATTGTCAAAATGAATTTTGGATGAACTCTTTCCGACGATCACTAAAACCAAAATTCCCACTAACAGAAAAATATAATTTGTGCTGGAGAGTTGAGGCCTATGCAGCGGTTTGTCTAGAGGTCAATGGTTTTGCTTACGGGACTCCTCTAAAGGGATATTTGGCATGCAAGCCAAAAGCGTTCTTATACAAGATAACTGGCAGGAGGTGCCCTTGTATAGAAAATTTTGGTGAAGGGTGGGTAATGCCCAACTTCGTCGACGAAGCTCTTAGGTCGTTACTTCAAAAAAGAACACAGAGGAAACAGCAGAAAATATATTTTTCTTAAACTGCTCTCTTTTATTTGGTTAAGTGGTTCCTCTTTTACTCTCTCTCATCTCCTTATCGGTCTTCCAAAAAATTTCGATAAAAGTGGGATTTGGCTTACCCTCCAAAAAATCGGCATTGTTTACTTTCCAAATTTGGACAGACTAGTAGATTGCAACCACGTGTTTGTTTTCAGACGGATATGGCGCTACTGCATGGGACTCAGCCCGGGAACTCTAATTATGGCAAAAGGGAGCCTTGATATAAGTTCTCGGACAACAGAGCTATCCGAATTCGGTAGAAAGGTCGGAAAGTAAATTTTAATATTAACGTAGAGGTTTATCTTTACAAGAGAGATATACAAATGTTGCATTTGTTATATAATTTTTACCAACTTTGCACGGGTTATAATAGTGCTTTAGGGTCTTAGTTTTCTTTTCATGTTTTTTCTTTTTTGAAATTTGTGTTATTTTTTTTTCTTTTTGTTTGTTTTTCTTTTTGGTCATTTTCGTATTTGTTTTTTGGTTTAAACTTTTCACCCTTTTGTCTCGTGCCCCTTGAGAAGAAGGAAGAATTAAAAGGAAAAAGAGGTCCTGAGATGGGAGCTGAGCCCCAGCTATATTATATCTTTAAATACGGCACACCATATGTGGGTATAGTGGCCAATATTAGTGCGATAACCAAGGTTAGGCATCTCGGAGAGACAGCCGGCTTTTAGTCTAATACCCTATTAGATAGCTTGGTCTTGTATTAAGCGTTACATTTAATAAAATTTTAGTACGCGGTTATCAAAGGAAAAAAAAAATAAAAATAAAAATAAATTGTTAAAAACCTAATTATGCATTTTTTGTAAGTTTTATGACTGACTCTAGGTGGAATTAAGTAAAAATCCTAGAGGGGGTATTATTTGTCAGTAGTGATTCTGGTTAATCAAAATTTATCTGCTAGGTTAAGCTAATAAATTTTGATCAGCTTAGCTGGCTTAGCTGATTTTCTAATTAGACTATTAGCACGTGAATACTGACTATATAAATCATTGTATGAACTTTTTCTTTATATAGAACTTTGCAAATTATCTGTTATAATGATAATATGTAAAATTGAACTTTATTTAAACAAATTACAAGATTAGTTGGAATTTAATAAGCTAACATTTTGTTTAATATTTGTCAACTTCTAAATTTTTTAAAACTAATACATTAAACTTTGTCTCTTTTTTATATTAGTTTAAATCGGAATAAGAATTAAAACAGTGTGGTTTTCTTTCAAAAAAAGCAAATCATGAACCATATTGAGATTAAGGCGATTTCTTTTATCAGTTATAATATTACTAGCATCTGAAAAAAGACACTCTGATGGAACTGAAGTTCCTAAAATTGCTAAATACTTTCATGCTTGCTCTGCTAATAAAGGAAGAGTTAGTTTATTATCTCGCCAAAAAACTAATAGGTTATATATTTTATAAAGAGAATTAGAAAGATCATATTTTGTCATTTTTGGCATGTCAAAATACACCTTTAATTTGACTTCAATAGAACAAACTTCTTGAGAAAGTTTTTTAAATAATGAATTTAATAAAAAGAAAATTTGATTATTTTTAGCAAAGGTTGTTGGATATTTATTTTTTGCTATCTCCATTCTGTGTTTTAATTCTTTTTAATTAATTCTAGTTTTTTTGGTTCAAAGCTTAAATCTTTAAATCTTGGATCGAGAATAGTAGCAATATATCCTTCTACCTCTGGTTCATTCCAGCGATCCCCAAATGAAAGTTCTATCTCATCACGAATATTACGAACAATTGGATGACTAAGTGTTGCTTCTTTTTTGAATAAATATTCTTGTAATACTTTAATTAGTGATAACATCATTGAAAAGATAGAGTAATGATCTCTGCCTATTATAGTTGTAACATGTGCAAAAGGATCTAGCAACTCAACTAACTCTTGAATTCCCAACAATTCTTCTTTATTAAGAAATAAAATTTCTAACGTTTTAGCAAAATTTCCAATATTTCTTTCTTTGTCTTTTGTAAAATCTATTTGCAACTTTTTAATAGTTTTGTAAAGAAAAAGTAACTGCTCTAATAATAAATAAATCGAATTTTACCTAGTTACGGTGTTATTGGATATTGGATCTAGAACTGAGATATCTTTATCATTAAGCGAAGGATTTTTTTCTTTGGCTATTTCAAACTGTATTAATCATAGCTTTTCTCTAAACTTATTTTTTCTAGCAACATGTGCATTTAAATTTTTTGCATGATTAATTAAGTTAGTGGCTAGTTTTTTAAACTATCTGTAATTCCAAGCTAGATAGTGTGAGCTATACACTTTAGGGGGCATCCATAAAATAACATTATGTACCCCTACATAGTAGCTTTTGACACCTCCTAGACTATATAAAAAATTTTTTTAAAAAAATCCATATGTTTATATATAAAATTTTACAAAAACTTGAATATATTATGACCTAGTGATTCAATTAGGATGAATTTGATATCATTCGATTCGTCTCTGTGAGATGCATCCAATGGTACTACAATCATTTTATTTGGACCACTGGATAACGTTTTATTAATGAAATACTATTGATTTTATAGTAATTTTATAAGAAAACATAATAACCAATAGCATTTCGTTAATAAAACATGATCCAGTAATTCAAATCAAATGATTTTGGTACCATTCGACTTCTCTCCTCGAGATGATTCGAATGGTACCAAATTATCCAATTTAGACTACTAGATCAAATTTTAGACAAATTTTTATAAAAAAATTGTGTTATGTTTTGAAGAACCCTCTTTAAATATTGGAAAATTGTTATATTTTCAGGACCCCCTCCCCCCCTCAAACATAACTTTATTTATGGATGCCCTCTTACATGTAAGATCCTAATATCTTTCATTGCCTTTACTATTGATGCAGTATTATCAGTTGCACTGTTATATATTTATCATTTAAATCTCATTTAGCTAATTCTTTTCATAAACAATTAATTCTCAATATGTTTTGAAGTATGCGGATATGGAAAACTTTCAATTATAAGCAGAGCTTTATATATTTCAAAATCTGAAAAAAGCCAGTGGGCTATAATTCCAATATAAGGTTTGTGGTTTTGGATCTATAGATCCATAGTAAATACAAAGAATTCCAATGTATTGATAATTAAATTTTTTAAACTATTTTTAAAATAGTTTACTGCCTCATATATTTTTTGTTTAAATGTATTTTTATCTGGAAATTGAAACTGTGACTCTGCCTCATATAAAAGATCATGAAACTTTTTATTTTTAAAACATTAAAGAGTTGTATATTGTCAATTATCCAAGATAAAATTCAGAAAGTAATTCTGTTTTGTTTTTTTTCTGATAATAGTATTTTATAACTAAATAATTCTGGTAGTATATGTTGCGACAGATCTAATTAAATAGACTGTAATTGGGTTATCCCTTGTATACCACTTAGTGATAATAAAGATCCATTTTTATCTAATCTGTGTTTAGTTCAAAAGTGAGCAGCTAAATTCGTTGTGCTGATTGTAAGTTCAAAATCACTTGAACACTTTTTTTTTTTATTATTATCACCGATCCATACGTCACATTTAACTTTCTATTAATTTTGTCTTTTTTTATATATTTCCATACCCAACTCTTTCCCGGTTTAGGTTTTTTTTTAGTATTAGAATTTCTTAAACTACTAATTTTTCTTTTGGTACTTTGAGTAAATATATTAGATGATTCTTCATTTAAAGAAGATACGTTATCTAAAGGTTTATTTAATAACAAGTTCGGCTCTTCATTCAATAACAAATATGACTCTTCATTTAATGATAAATGTAGTTCCTCATCTAATAATAAAGACTTCTTCATTAGAATCTGGTTCTTTGTTAGATAGTAAATATGGTTCATCTGAATACAAGCTTTCATTTAAGAAGTTTTGTAAGAATATTTTAGTAAAATATATTAAATATATCATATCGAATGTTAAATTTATTAGAGGTATAGTTTTTTTTTTTTATATTTAATTTTAATATAAACTAATATTTGTTTAACTTGCAAATTATAAAGTCGTTTATTATAAATAAATTATTGAAATATGAAATCCATCTAAGAATTTATATAACAATTTATTGTATTTATATAATTTTTTTTTTTTTATTAATAGTAATGCTGTTTTATTTTATAATATGATAAGTTGAACCTTGTGCTAAACTTTGTTTAAGTTTGCTATTTGCATTATTAACACTATACAAATATAGATTTTACCAGAACAAGTTTTACTATAATTTAGTATGGGTTTCACCCCAATATTTTGCATATATAAATTGGCTTTAAATTGATTAAGCTGCTAGTACAAAATAATAAAGCAATCAAAATAGAATAGGATAATACAAAAAAAAATATCTTGAAATAATTGAAATGCAACTGCATTGGTCTATTCCTAAATAAGTATCTATTATTATTGTTATTTGTATCTTATTATCATTTAAGTCAACTAACCTATTTTAATATAATACAAATTCAGATATAAATGCACTTAAACACAATTACAGATAAGTTTAAAATTATCTACTATATTTTTACATAATAATACTTATAAATGTTAATTAAAATAATAGCTCAAATTATAACTCTGTGCTGTTATTTTTTGAAAACACCAATTATAGAAAAGTGTGCAATATACTATTAATAATCTTATATGACCTTATACCGGGTTGGTGAAAAGTAACTGGACAGTGATCTTTTTTTAATCACTATGATTATCATTTTAATGTTTAGTAATCATTGCAATAAATTAATTTATTGAAACGTTAAATTGATAATCATATTGGTTAAAAAAAGGTCACTGTCTAGTTACTTTTTACCAACCCGGTATATAGTTTGATTTATATAGTAGATCAAACATCTTAATAATTTAAGTTCTCTTTAGTAGCGAAAATATTATCAGAATGCAATTAGATTATTCAAGTAAAACCAGATATTTTATCTTTTAATTGATTGATTAATTGATTGATTGATTAAATGATTAAATTATTATTGATATTATAAGCATGTTTTAATTATTAAATTATAGTACAAACATATTAGTCATATCAATTGCTATAGCCAGATCTGGCTACCACTATTTCTCTTATCACTTGCTCTCGCTTAATTCCTTGTATAGTTATTATAATTGGTTGATTTTAATTACAGATAATAGTTTTTTAAACCAATCATTAAATTCTTATTTTTATTTATGTGAAATCAAATGAATTTTTATATAATTTTGTATTTGAATTCAATAAAGTAATTTAATACTAATAGGTTCTAATAAAATAATAATAGCATATATTCAAAGCTATACGTATTCTCTTTTTTTTTAGCAAGCAGTAAAAATACTTTATATATGTATCTTATTTTAATCTCTTATGTGACTACTATGTGAAAGAGATATTTAAGCTATATATTATTTTACTAAGTGTTAAGTATTACATATTATAAATAACTAAATTTTATTTTGCTTTGTATTTTCTATTTTTTGCATATATAAAATTGATTAGCCAATTTAAAAAAAATCAACTAGCTAAGCCGAAAATTTTGAGTTAGCCAACTTATTGTATATCAGCCAAGATCACTATCTACAAATCTATAAAATTAATAAAAAATTTTTATTAATACCATATTTCTTCGATATGTATTTCTGATGTGATAAATAATGTAGATTAATTTTTAAAATACTGTTTATATGTGTATAATTATGTAATTCATATAATTTATAATTTTTTACTATGTGAAAAATTGCATTACACTGGATACACATGTCAAAGAAATACAGTATATGATTTTAAAGAAGTAATTTTATTAATAAATTAGTAATTATTAAACTTTTTCTAACAATCACTTGTCCCAAATTTTCTACTTAAAGGAAAATAAAAATTTTGTTGAAGATAATATTACTTTGTATTCTGATAAGGTAGTTTTTGTAAAGGTTAACTGCATTCTCTCAACTCCTTTACATATTTGGCATGCAAGCCAAAAGTGGTTTGATACAAAATAACTAGCAAGAGATGCTCTTGTACAGAAAATTTTGGTAAAGATGGTGTCCTGAAGAGAAGAGTTTCTATCAACAAAGTCTCTTAAAAGTCAAACAAAAAAAACAAGAGAAATAACAAAAAATTTTATTTTTTAATACACTCTTTACAAGCTTTGCATCTTTATCTTTAAAATTATTTTCCATAACTTTCACCATTCTTGAAAATTTTTTTTAGATAAAAAGTGAGGATTTGGCTTATTCACTCCAAAGGCTCGACATTGTTTATATCCCAAATTCAAAAAGCCAAGTAGATTACAATCAGATATAGTGCTACTAATTTGAACAGGTTCTAGATTTTAATAGTAGTAGCAGATGGCTTGAGATATAAATTTACAGACAGTAGCAGTACCTGGCTTGAGATACAGATTAGGTCGGGCCAAATATTCCAGAGTTGGTCATATGGTTAGAAAGAAATACTAATATTAAGATAAAGCTTTATAGTAGAGATATACAAATATTGTATTTGTTATATAATTTTTATACTTGTCTGGCACAGGTTATAATAGTGCAACCTCTTTTTTTTCTTTTTCGTGTTCGTTTTTGTGCTATTTTTTGATAGAAGTAGCTACTATTTCTCATAAGAGATAGTGTTTTTTTGTTTAGCCTGTTTAGGCTTATCTTTTTGTTTTTTTGTTTTTTTACATTTTATGTTTTTTTTTCATTTTTATTTCTTATTATTTTCCTTTTCTTGTTTTGTTTCTTTTTTGTGTATAAACTCCTTTTCTTCTTGATATATGTACTACAGAGGGCTACCAGTATATTGTGAACACTTTTTAAAAATTTATATTAAGCTAAATAAATAAGATATAAAGCCAAAACTTATACAAAATATTAATTAAATCTAAAATTTTTAAATAAAAAAAAATTTGCAAAATTCTATACAGTAGTTTTTAAATTATTAAGGTTACACAATTTTGTATAATGTTATACTAGTACATTAGCAAATTTATATGACTGTAATATTTCGTAATAATTTACAAAACGTAATATAGCTGTAATATTACATAAAAAATTTCAAAATATTGTGAAATATCAAATTACGAAATATTATATTAAGATATTTCGAAATATTTCAAAATTTCTTACATAATATTATGACTTTTTATATTAAGTAAATTTCAAAATAATTCGCACAAACTTTAATAGTATATATTAAATTGCAAAAATATTTAATGCCGAAATACATAATATATAGTCTCGATATCATTAATAATAGTTGATCTGATCCTCTTTATAAGTATGATATGTAAGTTAAGTCTAATTATTAAACATGCGCGCTACTATTTTTTTTATGCAATTATAGTAGTTACATAGATCAACACCCTGATCATGGGGTAATATAATCGAATTTATTTAGACAATATCTATACCAACTTCAAAACTTTTATCTCTATTTTTTTTTTGGTTGAACTTGTTTGTTGAATAGCTGCTTTTTTTCGTGGGATTCATCATTGGAGTCGTGCATTTTAGTATACTTTCTTCATTGTTGGTGTCATGCTTCCTTATTGTCGATGTTAATGGCTCTTTCACATTTTCAGGAAAGTATTTTTTTTTTTTTTTTTTGTATGAACTTGTTTTGTTGATTTTAGCTTGCTGCTTCTTTTTCTTCGTGAGAATCATCATTGGAGTTGTCTATTTTGGTATACTTTCTTGTCGTTGGTGTTGTGTTTCCTTATTGCTAATGTAGTTCAGCTTCTTCATATTTTCAGGAAAGTATTCTTTTTTTTTTTTTTTGTTGAACTTGTTTTGTTGATTTCAGTTTGCTGCTTCTTTTTCTTCATGGGAATTGTCATTGGAGTCGTCTATTTTGGTGTACTCTCTCATCATTGGTATTGTGTTTCCTTATTGCTGATATAGTTTGGCTCCTTCATGTTTTTAGGAAAGTATTCTTTTTTTTTTTTTTTGTTGAACTTGTTTTGTTGATTTCAGTTTGTTGCTTCTTTTTCTTCATGGAAATCATTGTTGGAGTCGACCATTTTGGTGTACTTTCTCATTGTTGGTGTTGTGTTTCCTTATTGCTGATGTAGTTCGGCTTCTTCACATTTTCAGAAAAGTATTTTTTTTTTTTTTGTTAAACTTGTTTTGTTAATTTCAGTTTGCTGCTTCTTTTTCTTTGTGGGAATCGTTATTAGAGTTGTTTATTTCAGTGTACTTTCTTGTCATTGGTGTTGTGTTTTCTTATTGCTGATATAGTTTGGCTCTTTCATGCTTTCAGAAAAGTTTTTTTTTTTTTTTGTTAAACTTGTTTTGTTGATTTCAGTTTGCTGCTTCTTTTTTTTCGTGGAAATCATCATTGAAGTTGTCCATTTCGGTGTACTTTCTTGTCATTGGTGTTGTATTTTCTTATTGCTGATATAGTTCGGCTCCTTCACGCTTTCAGAAAAGTATTCTTTTTTTTTTTTTTTGAACTTGTTTTGTTAATTTCAGTTTGCTGCTTCTTTTTCTTTATATAAATTGTTGTTGGAGTTATCCATTTCGGTGTACTTTCTTGTCATTGGTGTTGTGTTTCCTTATTGCTAATGTAGTTCGGCTCCTTCATGTTTCAGGAAAGTATTTTTTTTTTTTTTTTGTTGAACTTGTTTTGTTGATTTCAGTTTGCTGCTACTTTTTCTTTGCGGGATTTGTTGTTGGAGTCATCTATTTCAGTGTACTTTTTTTATCATTGGTGTTGCGTTTCCTTATGCTGATCGTTAATGGTTGTCAGAAAAGTATGTTGTTAATTATTTTTTTTAAGTTTGAACTTGTTTTTGTTGAACACTAATATTTTAGCTTGCAGATGCTCTTTCTTCACAGGATT